ACGCACATCAAGGCACGCATCTCCTCGCCTGGGATCTCGTGACTGTGGGGATGCTGCAACAGTCATAAGTGTGAAAAAGGGTCATAAGTCACTTTTTTCAGTGCCATTGTAACTTTGAATGGTCCCTCCACATAAGCAAAGTACCAGCAAAGGAGGGGGAAAAAACTCCAGAGAAGTTCCTGAGACAGGAAGTCTAGTCCTGCCAAGAATATAATAAGGGTTAACGGTGAGGCAGTTTCTGTAAGCAACACCAGAATGTTTCCTTCCTGCCTTCCTTACAGGATTAGCCCAGTAATTCCTTCTAACAACCGGTTCTCCCAACTGCTTAGAAGGTTAACAACCGGTTCTAGCAAATAGGCGCGAACTGGTAGAATCCCACCCCTGGATAGAATCAAGATCGTGTGAAGTGTTAATACCACTTTATAAAGCCTTAGTAAGACCACACCTAGAGTAATGCATCCGGTTCTGGTCAACATATTATAAAAAAGCTGTTGAGACTCTGGAAAGAGTGCAGAGAAGAGCAACCAAGAGGATTAGGGACCTGGAGGCTGAAACATATAAAGAACGGTTGCTGGAACTGGGAGGGTCTAGTTTAGAGAAAAGGAGGAGGACAGGAGACATGATAGCAATCTTGCAATATTTGAGGGACTCCTACACCCTGTTCTCCAAAGCCCTTGAAGGCAGGACAAGAGGCGACGGATGGAGACTAATCAAGGAGAGAAGCAATTAATGAGAAATTTCCTAACATTGAGAACAAGTAACCAATGGAACGACCGGCCTCCAAAAGTTGTGGATGCTTCAGTACCGGAAACTTAAAAAAGAGAGAGAGAGAGAGAGAGAAAGAGAGAGAGAGGGAGGGAGGGAGGGAGAGAGAGAGAGGTTGGGTAGCCATTTGTCTGGAATGGTATATAGGATCTCCTGCTTGAGCAGAGGGTTGGATTAGATGACCTCCAAACTCCCTTCCAACTGTCCTGAAGGATCAAGTCACCTGCTCCGCGAATGAAGCATCCTGGCTTCTCCAGTGGCCAATGATAGTCTGTAAAATTGGCCCAGTGGATAAAACTCTCTTTTTATCATCTTTCTGGCGCAAACCATGTTTTAGCTAGAGAATTCAGGAGGTCCAACTAACCATCAGGAGTAGCTTACTCCTCGGAGAACCGCTCCTCCCTACTTTTTAAAACCACCCAACTCGGTTGTCATCACTACAACCAGGGGTGGGATTCTACCAGTTTGCACCTATTTGCTAGAACTGGTTGTTAACATTCTAAGCAGTTCTGAGAACCGGTTGTTAGAATAAATTCCTGGCCTAATCCTGTAAGGAAGGCAGGAAGGAAACATTCTGGTGTTGCTTACAGAAACTGCCTCTCCGTTAACCCTTATTACACTCTTGAAAGGACTAGACTTCCTGTCTCAGGAACTTTTCTGGAGTTTTTTTCCCCCTCTTTTGCTGGTACTTTGCTTGTGTGGAGGGACCATTGAAAAAAGTGACATGACCATTTTTCACACTTACGACGGTTGCAGCATCCCCACAGTCACGAGAGGCCAGGCGAGGAGATGCGTGCCTCCATGTTGGCCACGCCCAGCCAGTCACATGACCACCAAGCTATGCCCACCCAATCACATGACCACCAAGCCACACCAACCAACTAAGTCACCCCCACAGAACCGGTTGTTAAAAAATTTGAATCCCACCCCTGACTACGACATGTACCTTGGGACCTCTGTGTCTTCCAGGTAGGTATCTTGGTTATTTGCCCATCGCAAAGAACGGGGTCCATTGCTGGTCACCCCTCCTATAAATGCTGTTTACGGGGCCCACAAAGTTTAGTTCAGTTTTATTGTCATTGCACCTCGTACAATGAAATTAAATACCATTTTCAGATGACTACGAAAATAAACACAAACATCCATCCTTCACATTCTGTGCAATTGACTGGAAACCCCCTGATATGGCAGGTTTTGGCAACCGACAGGCACGGTGCATCTGATCCGTTGGCTTTGATGCTTCCTTGATGCGTGAAACTATGACTGGTAGTCCTCCACTTACGACAGTCATGACCTACTCTCTCCACCCCCTGTGGTCACCTGACCATATTTCAGGCACTTGGCAATTGGCCCGTGATGACGGCTGTTTGCACCTGTAAATCACGTGACCCCGATCAATGATGTTTTTTGCCAATATCTAGCATTATGTTTATTTATATATCCAACACACGTTCCTCCTCCTCTTTTAACTCCCCCCACCCATAACGACAACCCTGTGAGATAGATTGGGCTGAGGGAGAATGACTGGTCAAAAGTCACCCAGCCAGCTTTCATCTTACAGATATTCAGAGGTGGAAGGGACCTTGTAGGTCATCTAGTCCAACCCCCCCGCCCAAGCGGGAGACCCTACACCATTTCTGACAGTCCAGTCTCTTCTTGAAAGCCTCCAGGGATGAAGCTCCCACAACTTCCAAGGGCAACTTCTGTTCCATGGGTTGACTGTTCTCACTGTCAGAAAGTTTCTCCTTATTTCCAGGTTGAATCTCTCCTTGTTCAGTTTCCATCCATTGTTCCTACCTAAGGCAGAACTAGAACTCCCCGTCTCCTGGTGATTGGCCCAAAGTCACCCAGCCGGCTTTCATGCCTAAGGCGGGACTAGAACTCACCGTGTCCTGGTGATTGGCCCAAAGTCACCCAGCTGGCTTTTGTGCCTAAGTCAGGACTAGAACTCACCGTCTCCTGGTGATTGGCCCAAAGTCACCCAGCTGGCTTTCATGCCTAAGGCGGGACTAGAACTCACCGTGTCCTGGTGTTTGGCCCAAAGTCACCCAGCTGGCTTTCATGCCTAAGGCAGGACTAGAACTCACCGCCTCCAGGTGATTAGTCTATAGTCACTGAGCTGGTTTTTATGCCTAAAGGCGTAACTTTAATTAACTTACAACCATTGCAGCATCCCCATGGTCACATGATCAAAATTCAGACGCTCACATTTATGACGGCTGCCGTATCTTGGAGTCACATGACCCCCTTTGGTGACCTTCTGAAGAGCAAAGTCAACGGGGAAGCCAGCTTCATTTAATAACCATGCAGTTTATTTAACCGTCGGTGGGGTTTCACTTAACAACGGCTGCAAGAAAGGCCACATAAGGAGGCAAAACTCACTGTTTTGCTTATCAGTGGAAATTTTGGGCTAAATTGCCGTCGTAAGTCGAGGACAACCCACCCCTAAGGAAGGAGGGCTGAGGAGAGGCTTCCAAATGACGTGTATTTTTTCCATCCCAATTTTTTGGCTTGTATTTTCCTTGTTTTGGCACACAAAAGAACCCCGTTTCTGGGTTTTCCCCTCGAAGGAACGTCCCCGAGTCTTGATATATTTTTACTGATTCTCTGCCCGCCCGGCCCCGGCCTGGACACCAGCCTGGAAGCTGCTGGCAATTAAGCCAGGAATCTTGGTTAATGGGAAGTCCTCCAGTGTTAACCACTCCAGCTCCCTGTAGCCCTAGCAGAGGCCGGTTTCCTTCCATGCTTGTGCAAAAGTTCTCATTTATTTTCCTGGAACGCCACCTTGCCAAGAAAGCCCCTGACCCGTAACGGCCGAATATGAATATTTATTTTCATAGCATCATTTGCTGGAAATTGGGAACCTCTGCCCAACCTGTTGGAACCCGGGTGCTGAGTTCAAATGCTGCCAGCAGTGCACATGCTTAGCGCTCGCCGGGTCGTCGCTTCTCGGTTTTGCAAGTGCAGAAGCTCCGCCCACTCTTTCCAAGAAGGCGCTCTATATTCCATTTGCCTTCCCTATTGGCTAAGAAGAGAGGAGTGGATGTGGCTTGGACACAGCAGCCAATCAGTATCGAGGAATGGTTTCCTACCCTACTAGAATTCTGTAATGGACAAACCAGTACTGTTTTTTTAACCCCACTCCTGCCTCTCTGGCCACACAACTCTTTTTCTTGGAGGTCTGTAGACTGGAAAACAGAACTTGCATTCTCGACTTACAACCTTTTATTTAGTGACCGCTCAAAGTTGCAACGGCACTGAAAAAAACATACCACGTGACCAGTTTTCACACTTATGTCTGCCGCAGCGTCCCCAAGATCACGCGATCAGAATTTGGGAGCTTGGCAACTGACTCATATTTATGACGGTTGCAATGTCCTGAGGTCATGTGGTCCCCATGTGACAATCAAAGTCAGTGGGGAATTCACTTAACAACCGTGTGATTAACTTAACAACTTCAGTGAAAGCATGAAAAGGCATGAAAAACAGCTGGGTGGCTTTGGGCCAATCACCAGGAGACGGTGAGTTCTAGTTCTGCCTTAGGCATGAAAATTGGATGGGGGACTTGGGGTCAGTTACCAGGAGACGGTGAGTTCTAGTCCCACCTTAGGCATGAAAGCCGGCTGGGTGACTTTGGGCCAATCACCAGGAGACGGTGAGTTCTAGTCCCACCTTAGGCATGAAAGCCGGCTGGGTGATTTGAGGTAAATTGGAGGAGGATTAGATACGTTCGTTGCCTTGAGTTATTGATCAAAATAATAAAAGTGGGATAGAAACAAAAGGAGGGACTCGGTGGCTAACAACGCTGTGCTTGTCGATCAGAAAGGTTGGCAGTTCGGCGGTTCGAATCCCTAGCGCTGCGTAATGGAGTGAGCTCCCGTTCCTTGTCACAGCTTCTGCCAACTTAGCAGTTCAAAAGCCCGAAAAAAAAAATGCGAGTAGGAAAATAGGGACCCCTTTGGTGGGAAAGGAACAGCCTTCTATGCGCCTTCGAAGGCGTTTAGTCATGCCGGCCACATGACCACGGAGACGCCATCGGACAGCGCTGGCTCTTCGGCTTTGTAACAGAGATGAGCAGCGCCCCCTAGAGTCAGAAAGGATTAGTACATATGTGCGAGGGGAACCTTTACCTTAGAAACAAATAAACAAACAAACTTTTGTAAGGTTGGCCCGTCCGATTTAGGGACGGTCTTCGGACGATTCATTCCCGTTTCCTTTCTCTCCCCAGGTTGACGGGCAGCGAGCCTCTGACCATCCTCCCCCTCACCACGGAAATGGAGGAAGCGGCCGTTAAGGCCCACTACAAGGTCTGCGACCGTCTGAAGCTGGAAAAGAAACAGCGCCGGATGTGCCGGAGAGACCCCGGCGTGGCCGAGACCCTCATGGAAGCCATCAGCATGAGTGCGCTAGAATGCCAATACCAGTTCCGCTTCGAGAGGTGGAATTGCAGTCTGGAAGGGCGCTACAGGGCCAGCCTGCTCAAGAGAGGTTAGTGGAGGAGGAGGAGGAGGAGGGCGGCAGGTAGTCCTCGACTTACGACCGGAGGAGGACGACAACGGGGGGGGTCAGGACCCAACTAGGGAACATCATCAATGCTAGAAGGGAGTGGGGGGTGTGGAGAGGAAGAGGAGAAGGGGAAGGAGGAGAAGGAGAAGAAAACAGCTCCTGTAGGGTCCTTGGTTTTCTTGCGGACGTTACATGATCCAGCTAGCTAATATCATCAGGGCAGGAAGGGAGGAGGAGGAGGAGGAAGAGGAAAAAGAATAAAGGAAGAGGAAGAAGGAAGAAAAAGGAAGAAACGGAAGAGCAAGAATAGGAGGAGGAAGGAGGAGGAGGAGGATAAGCAGAATCAGCAGAAGCAGAGGAAGAGGAAGAGGAAGAAGAAGAGGAGGAGGAGGAAGAGGAAGAAGGAGAAGAAGAAGAAGAAGAAGAAGAAGAAGAAGAAGAAGAAGAACGAGAAGAAGAAGAAGAACGAGAAGAAGAAGAAGAAGAAGAATGAGAAGAAGAAGAAGAACGAGAAGAAGAACGAGAAGAAGAAGAAGAAGAAGAAGAAGAAGAAGAAGAAGAAGAAGAAGAAGAAGAAGAAGAACGAGAAGAAGAAGAACGAGAAGAAGAAGAAGAAGAAGAAGAAGAAGAAGAAGAAGAAGAAGAAGAAGACGACTGCTACTACTATTATTACTGTAGGGTCGTTTTCTTGCAGACGTTTCATGATCCAACTAGGTAATATCATCAGGGCAGGAAGGGAGTGTGGTTTACAGGGTGGAGGAGGAGGAAGAAGAAGAGAAGGAAGAAGGAGGGAAGAGGAAGAAGAGGAAGAGCAAGAGGAGGAAGAAGAGGAGGAGGAGGATTGTGGGGTCCTTGGCGCTCTCTGAGGTTGGTGGTTTTCTTGCAGACGTTTCATGATCCAACTAGGTAATATTAGCAGTGCTATAAGTGAGGAGGGGAAAGAGGAGGAGGAGGAGGAGAAGGTGGAGGACTGTGTGGTCCTTGGTGATCTCTGAACGTGGTTATTTTTTTACAGACATTTCATGATCCAGTCCCATAACAACATCAGTGCTAATGAGTGCGTTGTTTATTGCTATTTACCTACAGGAGATTGCCCTGCCGATGTTGGCGGAGGTGTGATTATCTCCTTGGTACTTCCTTGATTAGGATATTATTTTCTGCTTGATAGTTTCTCTGGTGTTAATCCCTGCTTATCTGGGTTTCTCTTTCTGTGGAGTTCTTGGTGGTCTCTGAACTTGGTGCTTCCCTTGTGGATGTTTCATGACCCAACTAGGTAACGTCATCAGTTCCAGGAGGGAGGGGTGTGTGGAGACGAGGGAGGAGGAAGAGGAAAACGACTGTGGGGTCCTTGGCGCTCGCTGAACATGGCTGTTTCCTTGCAGATGTTTCAGTGCCCAACTAGGTAACCTCATCAGTGCTAAGCAGGGAGGGGAAGGTTTTCTTTCTGTTTATCTAGGTAGTCCTCGATTTACAACTATTCATTTAATGACCATCCGGAGTTACAACCGACCCAAAAAGGGGATTTATGACGTGGATTCCAACCCTCTGCAGTCCTGTGACTGAACTTGCGCACCTGGCAACACAGCTGTATCCACAGCCGTTTTTAACATCCTGTGGTCTTGCTTGCCAAAAATTGGTACTTACGTCTAGTTTTCCGCAAATTTGCACCCTTCACTGCATTTATCAGCCTGCTACACAAAAACTGCAAAGTGTTTTAACCTGTTTTAAGGCTGCTACAACAAATGACTGCAATGGGAAGACTTGGTTAACAGTTGTTTGATGATGATCAAAATCAAGAGTTTTTTGACTTTGGCTACCGATAGCCAGGGAATTCTGGGAGTTGAAATCCATCCGTCTCCAAGCATGCTGGCTGGGGAATTCTTGGAGCCAAAGTCTACTCACCTACAAACATGGTGGCTGGGGAATTCTGGGAGCTGAAACCCACCTGTCTTAAAGCATTCTGCCTGTGGAATCCTGGGAGTTGAAGTCCACCCATCTTAAAGCAAGCTTGCCAATGAATGCTGGGAGTTGAAGTCCACCCATCTTAAAGCAAGCTTGCCAATGAATTCTGGGAGTTGAAGTCCACCCATTTACAAGCATGCTTGCTGAGACATTCTGGGAA